GGGCCTTAGCAGTTACCTATACTATTTTGGGTGGGGTTCCTTGCTTGTAATCAAAGTATTATAATACAGGGGCCTTAATGATTACCTATACTATTTTGGTGCTCCTTATTGTAAATATAGTATACTATGCCCCCAACGCCCTATTCTAATTATTAGTATACTATGCCCCCAACGCCCTATTCTAATTATTACGGCCCCTACATACTCAACCCAATCAATCGTGGCGAGAGCCGTGCATTGCCTTACATCAGGTTTTGGAAGACCCTGAAGCCTCAGCTGCGAGGCAGGTCCACGTGCGAATGTGCAATATAGGGGCCTAAATAATTACCTATACTATTTGGGGGGGGCTGCTTATTATAACTATAGTATAATATCCCCCAAAACCCTATTCTAAAAAAATAAGGCCCCTATAGTATCCTTTGGTCTGCCCTCTTGGCAGCACGGTGACGGTTAGGTCCTAGTAGTGTTGACGCAAGCGATCTGTTGCGTTCACTTGAATCCCCGAACAGGAACCTTTGCACGCCACGGTTTTTGGTTTAGGGGTTAGGGGTTTAGGGTTTAGGGGTTTAGGGTTTAGGGTTTAGGGTTTAGGGTTTATCGGGTCATCGAGGTGTTCCGTGGTTTTTGCGGGATTCTCGCGGTTCGGTGCCTACTGCTGCTTACGGGATCATGTCGCCTCGGATCCTAGAAAGTACTGGCAATAGGGTTTAGGGTTTAGGGCATAGGGCGGGAGAAACGGTGGACAATACGGACCACGGGCAGGTACGATGTGGAAACTATTGCTATGCAATCATGTAACTGCCCCTGGAGCCCCTAAACCTCTAAACCCCTAAACCTCTAAACCCCTAAACCACTAAACCCCTAAACCCCTGACTTGAGCCACGATGTTGGCCTGCTTGCTCAATCAATCAAGACAAGGGCTCCCAGAAGGGTTACCCGGTTTTGGGTTTGGGTTTTGGGGTTTAGGGTTTAGGGTTACCAGAAGGGTTGCTATGAAAGTGAGGGTTCCTATACAGGTTTTTTATAAGAGGTACTTTAAGGGTTGCTATGAAGTTACTGTATGCAGGGGTACTGTAAAGGTACTCTAGAGAGTACTGAAAGCTTTGACCGCTTGCAGCTCCAGCCAACCCTCTGCCTCGAAGGCAGAGAGTGCCCGCGCGAAGCGCTGCAAAGTTTCGGCGACCTTTGGCGTGTTGTTCGTCGTGCTTTGGCCTGCAAGGGTTTAGGGATTTAGGGTTAGGGATTTAAGGTTTAGGGTTTAGGGATTTAGGAATTTAGGGTTTAATTTAGGGTTTAAGGATGAGGGTTTAGGGGGATGCTTGGGGTTTTGGGGATAAAGTAAAGGAACCCCAGATGCCCACTTATAGCTTCCCATGAACCTCGAAGTGGGGGTCTAGGGAACCACAAACCCTAAACCCTAAACCCTAAACCCTAAACCCTAAACCCCAAACCCCAAACCCTAAACCCTAGCCCTAAAGGAATCCTTGAAGGAACCTCCAAGTGGGGTCTGGGGATTCGGGTGCGGAGGCGCAGGGCAAAGGGCCGACATTTACATCCTGCAAGCCTTACACTTGGAGGTTCATGGGTAGTTATAGATGGGGTTAAGAAGTAGGGTAACTATAGACATATGACCAATATTAGGGGACTCAAGATTATGCCTTACACTTGGAGGTTCATGGGTAGCTATAAGTGGGGTTTGTGGGGTTCCTTTAAGGATTCCTCTGAAGGGTTCTATAGGGTTTAGGGTTTAGGGGTAGTTATAAGTGGGTTATAGGTCCCCTAATATGGGTTATAAGTATGGTTACCCTGCTTATAACCTCATTTATAACTACCCATGAACCTCCAAGTACAGCCGTCAGCCCGAAGCCACAAACCGAACATCCGTAGTTCCTAAACCCTCAAACCACAGGGTTTTTTCGAAAATAGCGGGCCCTTGCATAGTATCTTGAATAGTAGGATCCTTACTATAAGGACCCCAAAATACGGTACCCTTTATTTTGGGAAAGCCCCATATATCGCCTGTAAAATCACCAAACCCCGCACAATGGACCCCAAGCCACGTTGTCGGCGACCCCAAACCTTAAAACTATACGAAAAACCCAAGGCGATATCTTGCTAAACCCTAAACCCTAAACCCCTAAACCCTAAACCCTAAACCCTAAACCTTACAAAACCCTAAACCCTAAACCCCTAAACCCCTAAACCTTAAACCCTAGGCCACAACCTCTATCGCCCGCGGGAAGATCCTTGCGGGCGTCAGAGCAAAGCTTTGGGAGGCCCTCCGGCACCCTTCCCAGAGAGTCCAATATCCCTTAATAAAGGAATTATAGTAGGGATCCTACTATAATTTAAGGTATATGCCTTAATTAATGAATATACCTTAAGTTATAGTAGGGATCCCAACTACAATTTAAGGTATATTCCTCAATTAAGGGGTATTGGAGTCTCTGGGTTCTGGCTTTGGGGTTCATTCTATTTGGGTACAGCCTTAGGGTTTAGGGTTTAGACTTTTGAGTCTAGGGTGTAGGGTTTAGGGTTTAGAGTCTAGGGTTTAGGGTTTAGGGGCTCGTTCTTTCAGGGTATTACCAAAGGTTCTTCAAGGGTTTCAGGATGGCTCCTTCCTGAAACCCTAAACCTTTTGTGGGGGTTCATCTTAACAGCGTACTACAGAGGGTCCTCAAAGGTTTTGAGGCTTACTATGCGGGTTCCTGGGGGTTTCGGGTTGAGGATAGGATTCAGCAACGCATGTTTCTGCACACTGCCGCACCCGTGCCGAGCCTACGCCCCGGCATTGCCTGGAAAGGTTTATGCTACGATCACATCGGATTGTCTGCGAATTCAGGTGTCGCTGAGGTTCCTGTTCAACTGTTTCCCTCGAGTCTCTCACTACCAACCCCAGCTTGGGGCAACTCCCGAGGTAGGTTCACGGAGACAATTGGCGACTTCGACTTATACTCCTAAACCCTACAGGCCCTACAGTCCTGAAGCTTTCTTGGGTCTTCATAGGTGTCAGTACATAGAAACCCTTCTGCCCAACACTCGGTAAACTTAAACCCTAAGATGAACACAAGCCCTAAACTCTAAGCCCTAAACCCTAAACACCATGGCAAGTCCTTGCAGTACCCTCAGAAGCCGTGAAACATCCGGAGAAGCGAGCTGCGTTTCGCCAGGTTCCGTGGCTCTGCTCCTGATGCTTGGCTCGGGAGAGCAATTGTCCAGATCTTCAAATGGCTCCTTAAAGGGTTCTATAAGGGCTACTATACGGGCTCAGATTTTCGTGGCCTTAAGTTTTGGGCCCCTTTATAGTAATCTTGCTAATTATTTCGGCCTCTATATTAATCCTCCCTCTGTTTGAGGCTTTCGGACTAAACCCTAAACCCTTTGGGGCTTGATGGCATTCGGACTTCGGGAGTTTAGATGAGTTTAGGGTTCAGACTCCAAAGACTCAGAGGCCCCTGAGACCGAAATGTATGGAAGGTCATATAGGAGCCTAAATAATTACCCATACTATGTTGGGGGGTTCCTTCTTTGAAATATAGTATAATGGACCTCAAAACCCTATTCCAATTATTAAGGCCCCTATATTATCTGTGCGCAGTTCTTGCGGCTTCCGTGCCATCGCAAGGGACGGCTCGGGGTGAGGAGGATTGCGGGTTGGTGCTGAGATACGCGAGTGGAAACATAATACTAGTAGTCGTGATTCAGGGTTCTGGGTTTATTCATGTTCACAGGTGCGCATTCACTTATTGTGCTTGGTGCACTCGTTGTTCTTGTTTCAGTGAACTTATCTGTACTATGGTTGTTATTCTTGTTTTGGCTTTGGTCGTACTGCTATGATCTGAGTTTGTTTATCATGGTTATCGTTGTTGCTATGATTATTATTGGTTGTTGTTACAGGTGTTACTACCGGCATGCTCATGGTCATTTTCAGCCTCGCTACTAGCATTGCCAGCTCCGGCTAAACCCTAAAACTCTAAACCCTGAAACCCTAAACCCCAAACCCTGAAACCCTGAACCCTGAAACCCTAAACCCTTAACCCTTAACCCAAAAACCCTGAAACCCCTAAGCCTGAACCCCTGAACCCCCAGGAAGCGGCTGCAGACCGGAGCCCCGCATGAGAATCTTTCTTGGTCCTGCCTGGAGGCCAGAGCAGGCTTAGGTGCCTCCGGAACCTGTGGGACCAAGTCCCGACCCCGACCCCCCCCAGTTCAATAAAGCATACGAATAATGGTTATAATATCTATATATATATATATATATACTTATTTATTTGATTATATCTATAGGTATTTTCTGAAGTTCAAAGGTCCTTTGACAAACAAGTTGGTCGGGATTCGGGCTCACTTCGCATCGCCAGCATCTTCCCAAGCTGAAACTTCATGTCATGTCGATACAACTTGGAAGGTTCAGGAGAGAAGGCTTTTGATCTTGGACCGCTGAGGGCGTCTTTCCGTCTTAACTTCCCTGCAAGCGCGAATTTTTGAACCTGTCTGTGGTGGAGGAACTGCTGGCGCTTGATGTGGCTCCGTTTGAGTCCAGGTGTCTTGCCCCAAAAGGCGTGTGGCAGCATGCTTTCGGATTTGGGGGCTTTCCTGAGCCCTGCACTCTAATCGCATAGTTGTGGGGGGTCTTTCTGTCCTGGGCTCCTCGTAGTTAAGTACTGCATGCTTGGTTCAATGCTACGTCGTGTAAGCCCGTCAATCCGAAACTCCACCTCATAAACTAGTAATTAGTAATTAGGATATACGTAACCTTGTATATGCAAGGGAAATAGTCCCTGAGCCCTTATCCCTCTTGCTCATTCCTTTTTGTTCAACCTAGTTCCGAAGCCTGTACTGAAGTCCCCGTCCTAAAGCAATAGGCCGTTAGTATAAACCCCTCCCTACATATCTCTGTACAGCCCAGTAAAACTCCGAACGGTTTCCGGCCCCGCAAGACCCCGCAACCCCTCAACCACCTTAATGCATCAACTCAGTTGCACCCTAAACCCCAAAACCTGCTGAAGCCCTACAAAACCCAATGTAAACCCTCAAGCCTTACTTCTAAATAAACACCTAAACCCTCAACCCTACACCCTCAACCCTAAACCCTCAACCCTCAACCCTCAACCCTCAACCCTAAACCCTAAACCCTAAAACCCTTAAACCCTAAACCCTAAACCCATTAAGCCCTATAACCCCAACCTTCCCAGGTTGCCGGCCCTTTGGGCGGCCGCGCTGCGCGGGAGCGCTGGCGCTCCTTTCGGCGCAGCGCTGCTTCGGAGACCCGAGGGGTGTTTAGGGTTTAGGGTTTA